TCAGAGCCCTCAAAAGGAGCCAGCCCCACCTGCACCTTGATCTCGGACTTCTGGCCTCCAGAACTGTGAGATACTACATTGCTGTTCTTCGAAGCCAGCCAGTTTGTGGTACTTTGTTACGGAAGTCCCAGGAACCTGATACGAAGGATGATCGCCCTAGATCTGGAGATGCCCATGCCTGCTGGGAGTGCCAAGGAGCTGCTTTGGGACCGCATTTGGATGCCTCCAACCCAGGTGGCGTCTCTCACAGACCCCCTCTCCCCAGCCTAGGGCCTCATCTTTCTCTTCTAGCTATTGTTTGGGGCACACCTGCTCACTTTCTCTGGTCCACCCTCCGGTGCCAGTCTTCTGTTTTGCCTCTGGAATTAGGTCTCCACCCACTCCTTCGGAAGTTATGCTTTGAGTCTTTCCGCGCCCCCTGATCTGACCATTGGCTCCAGTGACCCTTTGGCTGGTCTTACCTACACCTACATTCTTTCCCTGTTTCTGAAACTCCAGCAGGGGTTGAGCCCTCATTTCCCACATACTGGAGGTTGGATTGGCCCCCAAGATGCCTGGGGCTCTCCCTCTGGTACCAGAAGTAGGAACAAGGTCTGGTTTCTGGATTTGGAACATCCTTGAATCCACCATGTTAGTGTTGCCATCCATCCCCTGTCTGAAAGTCCATTTCAGCTTGTTTCACAGATCAGAACATAACAACCCTCTTCCTTATGAAATTAACATTCCTAGTGGCTTGTACCGCAAGGTGCACCCCTCTGGCTTGCTTCTTCCAGGTAAAACTCTTCATGAAATCTACATGGATGCCACACTGGATGGAACATAAGCCACTTCTACTCTGGGCTCCCCATATTCATTCAGAATAAATGGGGAATACTTTTTAACTAGTTGACAAAAATTCCTGTTAGGCAGTGTCAAAAACTCTGATTGAGGGTAGAAATTAATTATCTTAATTATAATGCCAGAAAACACACCAATGTAGTTTTCTCCCATAAGATTCAGTAGTTCAGTTGTCTACAAACAGAGACAGACTCACAGACATACAGAACAAACTTATGGTTACCAGGGGGGAAAGGAGGTGGGAAAGGATAAATTGGGAGTTCGAGATTTGCACCTCTTGGGGAGTGATGGAAATGTGAGCTGTCTTGACTGTGGTGGTGGTTTCATGGGTGTATATACATCTATCCAAATTCATCCAATTGTACATCTGAAATATGTGTAGTTACTGTACAGGAATCATACCATAATAAAGGTGTTAAAAATTCAGTAGTTCAGAAGGGGATTGACACATTTAGTGCATTTAAGAATCACAAGGAGAAGGCATTTGAAGGTACTAAAGAGTGTGAAAAAATTCCTTACCATAAGCTTCAGGATGGCAGGCAAGGAAGTGAATCCAAGAGAAGAGTGAGAATAAGAAAATCATGGGGGACTGGGGAGCATACTGATGTATAAGAAAATAATTCGAAGGAGGAACAAGATTTGAAAAGAAAGGGGCCTGGTGTGCTTGGAGGTGTGGCAAATTGTTCTCTATCAAAGATGCATCAATATATTTCCATTTCCACATGCTGTTCTTTTTTTTTTTTTCAATGCTACCTGGATGATCCTCCATCAGGAGATGCGGATCTATGTCTCCTTCCCTTGAAACGAAGCAGAACTTTGTACAAAATTCCCTGGACCAATGGGATGCAGTGACGGTATGCTGTGTGATTTCAGAGGCTGACTCATGAGAGGCAATAATGGCTTCCATCTAACTGTCTCAGGACATGCGCTGTCGGGGCCCCGAAGGCATTCGTAAGAAGCCCAGCTATCCTGAAGTTGTTTTGCTGGAGAGACCACGGGGAGAAACTACATAGAGACAGAAACTGAATTCAAGAAATCCCAGCTTTTCAAGGCTTCCCAGTTGAGGCACCAGACAAGTGATGAAGAGGCTTTCGAGACTGTCCTTCCTGAGATAACGATCTGATTGCAACCTCAGGAAACTCCTGGGCCAGAAGCACCCAGCCAAGCCATCCCCAAATTCCAGACCCACAGAAACAGTGAGAAATAGTAAATAATTTTTGTTGTTTTAAGACACTAACTTTTGGAGTGATTTTTACATAACAATAGAAAAAGTGGTAAAAATGAAGAAAAATGTCAAGTATGAGAAAATGAGAGAAAATAAAAGGACAGGAAACTAATACTCTGTAGAAAAAGGCAATGAAATGGCCTCCAAAGGCAAGTTGGCTTGGAGCATTCCAGTGAACAAAGGGCCACATTACATGGACGCTTCCGGTTCACACACCATCAGTCCCAGGCTCTATTTGTAGTCATTCAACTATAAGGAAAACATGAGCTGGAAATAAACTGTATATCAGCAGAGAAGTTGAATATATTTGGAAATCTCTAGTAGGAGGGAAAGAACATCTGTTGGAAAAGTTTTTATGATGATTTCATTAATTAGACAAAGTCCTTTTACAGGAAGGAATTAGAGGAAAAGTGAAGATAAGATGATCTGTTTAAAATGACATATTAACATTGTATAACCATATTTATATAATGGAATACTACTCAGCTATAAAAAAGAGTAAAATAATGCCATTTGCATCAACATGGAT